CAGCAATTACAACGTATGAAATAAACTCGAATAAATTATTGCCCCCGTCTGTAAAATCTGACGGGAGACCAAACACGGTACTGCACAGTAAAACGTGCCCGCAATTATATGGCCCCGATATGATTTTTAAAAGTGTGAAATAAAATTGTGATAAAATAAATGTGTGGTGAAGAATGTGAAACAGTTCAAATTTATTCAGACGAGGCTGATACACTGTTCTTATCAGAGCTGACAATCTTATTGTTCCTTATGAAATGAACTCTGTTAGGCTCTGCTTTCCTCTTCTCTTTCAATTCCTCCCAGAGCTTCTTGTAAGCTCTCCTTTCTTCCACTGATCTGTCTGGGCAAATGTAGATACTTTTATAGCCCTCTTTTGTGCGTAGTAGTTTCGCTTTTCGCAGCACCTGAGTAACCATATCAGAGCTATTTAGAGATAGTTTAGTAGGTCGTATTAATGTGCCGGCTCTCTTCAAACCAACTCTACAACAGTCACGAAATGAAGGTTTCTCGTTTATCTCACCAAGAACTTCAGCAACTTTGTTTTCTAACTTCTCGCCGTCGGATTCACTTATTCCGTAGATTACGACGTTTCTGCTTCTTTCATCCTTTTCAGCTATTGTCTTAACTGCAGTACAGATCTTCTTTGGCGTAAGAGCAGCTGCACAAGTCTTCTTCAGGGCAGAAGAATATGATTTCATCTCTGTCTGCACAGTTGTTTGGACAGACTTGAGTTCTTCGTCCTTCTTTTCAATGAACTGCTTCTGCAAATCAATGACAGTTTTCTGCTCCGCGATTAATGAAATGTTCTGTTTATCTACTCTCTCCGCAGCCATTTGCAAATGAGGAGCTGCATAACGATTCAAAATGAAGCAAACAGTTTGCAGCCAATCACACAGTTTTTCTTTCGAAACTGATCGCTTGTTCAGGTTTTTCAATACTAGATCTCCGTATTCCTTAACATCCAGTTCATGGCACATTTCATTAAAAACACTGTTTGTAGCTCTCGCTACCTGATCTGCATGTCTGGCACTAAACAGATCATCATTATCGGGGTCATCGACCAAATGCTTCGTATGTTCATGGTATGAGTACTGCATCGTGTATATAATTCCAATGTACAGTTCACAACGATCACACTAAAAGACAAGCACTTCTTATCGCAAGTTACAACAGCTGATAACAGAGCTCGCTATTTGCAACCAAATGTAAAACGACTACACATATGTGAGAGAGATGACAAATTGTAGGGTACCTAGATGGGTCCAATTTTGTTTTCACTCGCATGGTTTATAGTGTAAATTAAAGATTAATTGACCAGGAATGGTTCACTTTATAATTCTTATTCATTTTTTCATCTGATATAAATAATATCTATGTGAAATCAAGAGGAGTAATCAATAGGTAAATAGTATGGTATAGTTCAATCCACATTGAATGTAACTGCACACATAATCTATAACGATAATTATTTTGATAAGCTAGATATTATTCTGTGTTTTTATGTTGAGATATTGAGATTGACAATGGACAAATTTTTACATATTATGATTATACAATATTTGAGGAAAGGTTTAATTTAAAAATGAAAGTTGTTCCTTCGCTCCATATATATTTCGAAGCAACCATCATAAAGGGTGGCTCACAAGTAACTGCCCACATTGCCCACAAGCAACCCTGTAATACTTGGCGCAGTTCGTGTCAGAGTTGCACACAAGTTTCATGGATTACAAATATGGGTCAAACTTAGATTCCCTTAAGGTTTTGTACAATTCTTTTTATTACAGTGGGTGTGGTGCGTCAGCACTCTTTTGCACTATTTCGTCATGGGTGCCCTTTAAGCTAGGAATTCTAAATTTTTCAAGGTTCCTTTTGTTAGATAAATGTAAAGTGAATAGTTAAAATTTGCATGATCATTGAAAAACCTGGCGGAATCTCATTAACAGCTTGTCACTTACGGCTTATCAAGTGCAACAATGAGCCTCATTAGGCTGTACCAAGCGTGTCAGAAAGATGACGATCAGCTCCTAAGCTAAATTTTTTTTTTAGTCTTAGAATGTTTTAGTACGATTAGATGAGTTAGATTTTTGAAATATTAGTATTTAAACTTCAGAGATTACAATATGTCATTAAATATATGTCATTAAATCATATGTCATTAAATCATTTCATTGCCTTTATTCTTCAGTTTTGTCTTTCTTGCTTTTCCGTACCATAGGAGAACATCACAACATGGTAAAATTTGCGATCCATTCAGTTCAATCTTGAAAGTCCTTATTTATTCGCTCATCTATTTTATATGTTTTGCTCTAGTTCTAATAATTTATTTATATTGTTGAATATTTGATTGGTTTAACCCAGGAACAATGGCTCCGAATGTGAGTGTGCCAATGAATTTTGGTATCCGGTTACTGGACTCTCCAACCCACAGTACCCTGGAACTCAAGGCAAGTCAGGGGGCAGTGATACCAGCCAGTTCAGTGATCCTATCTTTCAACAGTCCCGTGATAGATCACATGACCACAACTCTTCATCTGACCAGTGTGGATATGGAGGAGTTCAGTGAGGATGCTGTGAGATATTTTATAGATGCTGCCTACTCGGGAGAGAGTCCACCAATATCTAGAGTTCTCTTTAGAGATATCAACAAATTAGCTAACGTCTTTGAAATGTCATGGCTAGCTACAAGATGTGTTGAACAGTTTGCTGATATTGCTGCAGCTATTAAAGAACCTTCTTATGAAGATTTCTTCTTTTTGTTTGAAGAAGCTGCTTTTGTACTGACCAACCTTAAATCTCGAGAAATGGTAGAAATTGCTTTCACAAAGATTAAATCCCTGAATGGACAACAAGATTTTATTAGCAGATACTTGGAAAACTTGTCCTATCTGACCTGCCAACAGCTGGACTTGATCATAGAACTGGCTGGAACTAAAGTTGAGTTTGTTGTTGAACCTTTAACTGAACAACTTACAGCAAGTTTGTCTAAAGGAGAAACATTTGTACCTGCTAACTGTAAATATCTTCTTGAGAACTGTGAATTGTATTTATGTCATCAGAACAACATTGTCATCTTTGAACAACTGTTTGATTCACTCGAAAGATTAGCTGTTGGCTCGTATAAACATATGAGTTGGGTATTTCAACTTCTCAGAAAGTCACTTAGAAAAGGAGAGCTTTCTCCTCTAAAGCACGCAGATTTAGTTCCACGTGAAGACATTCATGCAATTCCGAACTTGTTCCACACATTAGATTGCAGTATAACATTTGATGAAGTTGTTGATTGGTTGGGTAAATCAGAGCAAGTAACTAACTTGATAATGTTTTTTGAGGGATTGTGGACTTGGATGTGGAAGAATAAGAATTTTAGAGTAGAAATCTCTCCTCAGCTGCTGCAATCAATTTACGAAATCAAAGAAATCAGAAAATGGAATCGGATTATGGATCACTGGTTAAACTTTGACAGACATGACTTTCACAAAAGTAATTTTTTCGGGATTATCAAAGCTGATCGCAGATTTTGCTCCTCCGCATTCGAAAAGGATCGATGGATTTCTCTGGACGGTCAAGTTCATTCTTTTTCAGGTGGCCAGTATTCAAGCATCCATTCTTTATTTGAAAAGGAAGCGAAAGTGGCGCTCGTTTGTTCAACTACAGTGAATAATTGCTCTAAACCAGGAAAATGTGGATTTATTCTAAAAAAAGTTTCTGCTAAAGACGGGGCAAACATTAAACTATGTACGGATCCTAATGATTATTCTGAGATAATACATTACCATGAGGAGTTTCAAGCTAAAGATATGCACTTTTCTATGTATACGATGAAGAATAAATTTACTAACGTTCCATTAAGCTGGTGTGGTAGACCAGAATTCAAAAGCGGAAAGGTATGTTGGAATTTACCTTCAGATATGAACTGTACACAAGGACTATGGATTGTACACTTATTAATTTCATTGTGAGATCACAATGCGTCCGGTACCTAGATAGGTTTAATTTTGTTCTCTGAAGCATGGTTTATTGTGTAAATTATTAGTTTAATTAACCGGGAATGATATACTTTTACAATACTTTGCATATCAGTATAATACAATGTAACGGCGCACATAATATATACCAGTTAACAAAGAGCATCATTAGGCTGTACCAAGTGTGTCAGAGAGAGAGATTACGATCAGCTCTTAATCTGAATTTAACGTGAATCTATGGTTTTAGAACTTTTTTGTACGATTTTTATGGTTTTAGAATGTTTTAGTACGGTTAGATGAATTTAGTATAGTTCTTTATGTAACTGCGCGCATAATCTATAATCTATATACCAGTTAACAAAGAGGCTGTACCAAGTTTGTCAGAGAGGGAGAGGGAGAGGGAGAGGGAGAGGGAGAGGGAGAGGGAGAGGGAGAGGGAGAGGGAGAGGGAGAGGGAGAGGGAGAGGGAGAGGGAGAGGGAGAGGGAGAGGGAGAGGGAGAGGGAGAGGGAGAGGGAGAGGGAGAGGGAGAGGGAGAGGGAGAGGGAGAGGGAGAGGGAGAGGGAGAGGGAGAGGGAGAGGGAGAGGGAGAGGGAGAGGGAGAGGGAGAGGGAGAGGGAGAGGGAGTGCTGGGAGAACCAATTTATATTACAAATAAATCTTTGCTGCCGATTTTTGGACAAAAACTTAGATGAAATAGATCATATCAGGTATCTTTATTTGTCTTTAAAACCCCAGCATTTTCATGAAAGGAATGGTTTTGTAACTGCTAATTATATCTATGTTGTTATTTAAAGTGAAATTTACCAAAATTACTTTACTTGAATTTTTATCGATTCTATAAGATTTTGAAAATAATATGTTACATTGTAATCAACAATTTCTCAATTTCTCTATATTTGTAATCCTATTGATTATTTTATTTTGCCAAAACACAAAAACGTCTTTTCCAGTTGAGTATCAGATTACAATTGCAAGTTATTATCAAAATGATATTTGCTGGCCCTAATTCTAATAAAATCGTTATTGCCTGTAGAGATGATGGTCGCTAAACGATCTCCCGAGAAACAAGATGTAATGTCCTCTAAGAAGCTGAAAGTAGCTGATGATAATGATAACGGTGTTATAAGAAATAAATCTGAGCTTGAGAAATCTCAATCTAAAAAGAAGAATGAGAGTATTCTCATCAATCCAGGTATGGTATTTTTTACTATAAAATTGGTTTTGTAAATTGTGGTATTTTCTAGTAAATACCAAACAATACCAAGCCTGTCTTTCAGTCAACTTTTTCACTGGAATTAACTTTTTCCTAAACCGGTGTCACAAATTCTTTCCCCACTCCAGAACTAGAAGTAAAGGTGGAAGTGGACCAGAAAAGACGGGAGCAGCTGAACTCGAGTGCTAATCTAGTGCGAGTGTTTGCAAGTGAGTGCTTCACTCTGCACTCGCCCAATGTTATCAGTTACACTCACTGTGGGCAGGTTCCTCATATTACTGCTGACCTGTGTTCCTCTGAAGTCAATGGAGGTTCGTGCAAAATGATTATTTTTATAAGGTTTCGTTATTTTGATGATCATAGAATTCAAGATTGGCTATGCTAACTCAGTATCGCTTTATCATCTTTATGATGGAACCCTTGTGCCATCCTCAGTGACCTTAAGTAAGATGGTCATACAAGAAAAGTTCAGTCAAAACAGTAAAATTTGGGTCGCGGAAAGCTGAAATTCGAATATTTCCTACCCGCCTACCGTTAGGACATACTCAATATTTTCATTGCACTGATTAGTTACTGGTAAAATTTTTAGTCAAAACCGCGAAATTTCTTATTTCGGTCAAGGCCTTGCTCTTTACTGATATTCAGTAATGAGATCCTAATGAACTTGAATGTAATACAATCTTGTATCGCTCATCCCCTTTTGTCACTGTGAACATCTCATACGTTTCAGATTTCAGCATCGTCCCCCTACATTCAATATTTAACAGTGTAAAAGTTCTTGGAAAACTTGGCAAAACACTCTCTCAATTTGTTAACACAAAGAATAAGATCATTCTTAATCCTTTTGACAGGTTTGAAAACTGGTAGCTTATTTCGTTATTCATAGTGTTTAAATAATAAATATTCGCAATTAAGAACTTGCTGATTTACTAATCGGTGGATTGTAAATTACTTTCTCTGCAGTTATAAAATATGTCAATTCTGGTGTGGAGGTGAAGCATATTATTTTGAAACCTGACAGAAATTAACCCCAGAATCAATATCAGGTGTCAAAAAAAATGCTCCACGTCCCCACCAGAATCCACATCTATAAATTGTAACACCGCAATACCCTATCAGTTCAGAGCCATGTGATTTAACCTCTTTTAACGATCAACTGAGTATGTCAGTGTGGGGTAAAGGCGGTAACAAGAAAGTCACTTCTAAAGACTACATTGAGATCATCAAGGTTATTTACTTAAGAGGGCACATCATTCTTTTATCTCTAATCTTTTTTACACTTATCTTGCATTAAAACCTTGGCTGTTAATTTGAAACTGTTTGGTTTATCAATTCAGCCAGTGTATCTATGTAAAGTCAGATTTTACCTGCTTAATCCCATCTAAAAATGTCAGGTTTGTCAGCCGGAGATGTTCGTCTCTTTATCAGATGTGGTACCAAGTACAGTCAGTAAGAAGAGAGCTAATAAATCCTGTTATCGAACTCTACGATGGGTAATTTAACATTCGCATTGTAATCTTGTAATGAGTAATTTACCGTTCGCATTGTAAACTTTAATTTGATGGTAATTTAACATTCTCATTGTAATCTTTTGACAACAATTGTTTCGCGTCCTACGACCATCTATCGTGAAGCTATCTGTCAAGTACTACAACAATATTACCATATTCTTATTATACTATCGCTCAGAACATAGCAAAACATCTGTACCAGGTGACGGAAGCAATAACGCATTTGTCAGATTCCAATGAGATGACGTCACGACTTCTAGCCCCGATCCCCGGATCAGGAGACAGACAGCTGATGATGAAGAGCGCTTACTTACTCGCCACCAGACAAGTCTTCGGGTGCGGAGCTTGAAACATATTTTTAGAATTTTCATTGTTATAGTGAATTTTATTGGTTTTCCGACTGAATTGGTATCTAACAGATTTGAGCATTAAATCTTCGATGATGCAGCAATCACTTGTTTACTGTAGGTTATAGCACGTGATTGTGTTACATAACCTTTCCAGGTACGTTATAGAAAGAGCAACATTACCCCGGGAGGGCTGGGAGGATCTGGTTAAAGATATCATCTCGATATTACCTCCTTCTCGACCTGTCTTCATGCTAGGTAAATACTTGGCTGTTTCAAAGAAATTTATGTTCATTTCATTTATATGAAATTATAAACACTTAAAAACACAAAAATCCTATTTCTACATAACTCACTTTTCGACCTCCACGTCCAGGAGTTCTGAACGAGTTAGAGATGGTACAAGCTCACAACTGTGGCTGTCACTTTGTGGACAGTTCCTTTGCTCTACAATACTCCAACAAGGGCCAGGCAATGGCGCTCAACACACTAAAACCCTCTAAACTACCTGACCCCTCCCAACTTGACAATCTTACTTCGGAGAAGCCCTCTGAAGATTTCGGGCCTAGTCTTGCCGTGAATGTTCCTCAACAAATCAGTGGTGAGAGTGATAACAAGAAGAGAAAAGGCAAAGAAACTCAAAATGGAAGAAATCTGATATTTAAAGCAGAAGATTACATGCCGACTAAATCACTGACGCTCGATTTAAAATCCCCTGTATACACGAGGCAGTTTTACAAGATGGTCGAAGACTGTCAGTGTTTCTCGTGTACCCGTCATACACGAGGGTACATCAACCATTTGTTGATAACACGGGAATTGTTAGCCCCTACTCTGCTTATGTTGCACAATGTCTACCATGTTAGGAATGTAGTGAATGTTGTTAAGATGAAGGTTAATGAGGGTGTTTTAGCAGAATATAAAAAGGAGCTTCAGGAGGTTTTTAGTTAAGATTAGATGTTAAAGGTCTGAGAACTTACTTTTAATATGCTATTTAGTATTTATGACTCAGTTGTTAACCCTATTTTTACTGGTATATTGCCTTTTAATAGTTATGCGGCAATGTTCATATATACACGTGGGATAGTTTTACTGCCATCATTTTATTAATTTATTAACATGCCACAATTTATTAACTGAATATTGACCCGAATTTAATTCAATTTATATACGATAAACTCGCATAAAGTCGCATTTACACACTATTGTTCTATTTTACCAAACAATTTATTAACAGATGTTTTTGAAAGATACTGTTACTACAAACAATCGTATCATTAATATGTTTAAGAATCCTAATGTAATCAGTCGCCTGATTTTCTTGTGAAATTTGATTTCGAGATAGCAATTTACCAACAAACTAGGGCATGTGACCGAACTTTTGAGGGGGTTCCGGAATCGGGTGCCCACTGGTGCCCGCGGGAGAGCAACGCACATATTTGGTCCAAATTATGCCAAATCATATTAACATGCTCAAAACCCATGAATTTTCATCAAGATTCGACAAAAAATGACTGAGTTATGAGCTAAAAACCATATTTGGGCATACGCACCAAATTTGATATCAATTATCAATATTTTTGGATGAGACAAACTTTATATGGAAGGTAAGCCTTAAACTTAAAGCCTATACTACACATTCTATATGATTATCAGCTCAGCAAATAATCGCAAAAAATGAACAAAATCGCCCATATCTCAGTTCGCGATATTTGCAAAACTGATTTCGCTCAAAACAATAGAACTCAATAGGGTTTCAATATTTTTACTTGAAATTTTCAGAAAAAACGTAGAATCGCATTTCGACCTTAAGTTTTAATTTGGAATTGTGATTTAGGCCTTTAAAAAAATTGGCGGTCAAATTCTGAAATTTGCCAGGCATTTTTATGGTCATGTCATGGTTCATATCTGTGTTTGGTGACCCACAAGTCATTTGATTACATACATTTTAAGCATTTTGCATAGTATTAGTAAACTAGCTTGCAAATCCACACTTTCTCTCAAGGTATATAAGTTTAGCCAACTCTGAAATGAACACATGATCGGAGCTGTCTGCTGTACAGATCACATTACCAGTCGACCAAGTTGAAGTTAATAACTGAGTTCCGGTCATGTCATGTCATGTCATGGCATGTCATGTCATGTCATGTCATGTCATGTCATGTCATGTCATGTCATGTCATGTCATGTCATGTCATGTCATGTCATGTCATACATCATGTCATGTCATGTTATGATTTGGAATCAACGTCCAAAAATAAGTCGAAGAAAGTTACTTTCATATTTTATATCCTCTTGGCTCTTAGTCTTAGCCCTTTCACAAGATTTCGCTCTCCTGAGGAATTCGCGCACTGTAAGTGTAGTTCGACTGTAGTCTGTAGTACGAGACATGTGAACATGAATCTTTCCCTCCGTTTTCAAATTCTGGACCGGTGGGGGTGGGGGGTCTGGGAGTCGACTGATTTAAAAAGTTGCTCAACAAAGTTTAAACATATTAATATTAACACGATTAAGGAAATTCGCAAAGTTTTATTGTTAATCAAAATGATTTGAGCTACAAAAATGTTTGCCAAAATTCAAGTATTTTTGCTGTCGTCAGCAATATAAGGCCGACACTCCCTCCCCAGCGCCCCCACCCCACCCTACCTCTCCAGCGCCATTTTCAACGCTCCCATCATACCATTTTAAAACTCTTGCCCTTGGTAAATGATTTAGTAGAAAATAAAAGCGAGAAGGTACAAGGTAGGTATTCAATATTCATAGTGAATTCAACTGCTAGCGAAAGAAGGGCCGGATCCTAGTGGTCCACGTAAAACCGCAGGGTTGGTGGATCGATCATGCAAATGGCTCTATTTGCATGATCCTTTAGAGCTCATTATCTTGTATGTTGAAATCGCCTCACCATACTCCGACTCGATCCCATTCAGTGGTTTACTTATTTGACCTAAATGGAATCAGTGCAGAATTGTTTCCTGCTTCAGCTGACAATGATAAATATTGAATTTTCATCAAGATTCGACAAAATATGACTGAGTCATGAGCTAAAAACCATATGCCCATAGTCGGGCATACGCACCAAATTTGATATCAATTATCAATATTTTTGGATGAGACAAACTTTATATGGAAGGTAATCCTTAAACTTAAAGCCTATACTACACATTTTATATGATTATCAGCTCAGTATCTATCTAACTGTGGATTCTGTGTTCAAATAATCGCAAAAAATGAACAAAATCGCCCATATCTCAGTTCGCGATATTTGCAAAACTGATTTCGCTCAAACCAATAGAAATAGAATTCAATAGGGTTTCAATATTTTTACATGAAATTTTCAGAAAAACGTAGAATCGCATTTCGACCTTAAGTTTTAATGTGGAATTGTGATTTAGGCCTTTAAAAAAATTTGGCGGTCAAATTCTGAAATTTGCCAGGCATTTTTATGGTCATGTCATGGTTCATATCTGTGTTTGGTGACCCACAAGTCATTTGATTACATACATTTTAAGCATTTTGCATAGTAATAGTATTAGTAAACTAGCTTGCAAATCCACACTTTCTCTCAAGGTATATAAGTTTAGCCAACTCTGAAATGAACACATGATCGGAGCTGTCTGGCGTCTGCTGTACAGATCACATTACCAGTCGACCAAGTTGAAGTTAATAACTGAGTTCTGTCATGTCATGTCATGTCATGTCATGTCATGTCATGGCATGTCATGTCATGTCATGGCATGTCATGTCATGTCATGGCATGTCATGTCATGTCATGTCATGTCATGTCATGTCATGTTATGATTTGGAATCAACGTCCAAAAATAAGTCGAAGAAAGTTACTTTCATATTTTATATCCTCTTGGCTCTTAGTCTTAGCCCTTTCACAAGATTTCGCTCTCCTGAGGAATTCGCGCACTGTAAGTGTAGTTCGACTGTAGTCTGTAGTACGAGACATGTGAACAATCTTTCCCTCCGTTTTCAAATTCTGGACCGGTGGGGGTGGGGGGTCTGGGAGTCGACTGATTTAAACAGTTGCTCAACAAAGTTTAAACATATTAATATTAACATGATTAAGGAAATTCGCAAAGTTTTATTGTTAATCAAACTGATTTGAGCTATAAAAATGTTTGCCAAAATTCAAGTATTTTTGCTGTCGTCAGCAATACAAGGCCGACACTCCCTCCCCAGCACCCCCCCCCCCCCCCACCCTCCCTCTCCAGCGCCATTTTCAACGCTCCCATCATACCATTTTAAAACTCTTGCCCTTGGTAAATGATCTAGTAGAAAATAAAAGCGAGAAGGTACAAGGTAGGTATTCAATATTCATAGTGAATTCAACTGCTAGCGAAAGAAGGGCCGGATCCTAGTGGTCCACGTAAAACAGCAGGGTTGGTGGATCGATCATGCAAATGGCTCTATTTGCATGATCCTTTAGAGCTCTCTATCTTGTATGTTGAAATCGCCTCACCATACTCCGACTCGATCCCATTCAGTGGTTTACTTATTTGACCTAAATGGAATCAGTGCAGAATTGTTTCTTGCTTCAGCTGACAATGATAAATATTGGCTTTTATATATTTGAAGTGCTCAAGTAGCCATCGATTCCACAACAAATAAAAGTCGTAGAAAAGCAAGTACCGTTAACCGTACGTTAGATTCATTTCATTTCTTGTGATTTGTACCCAGGATACGAACCAATAAATAGACTTAACTTTTACTGGCCGGCACGCAGTGAAACTGAAAGTGAAAGACTGTTAGACTTAAATTGATCCTGACGGCTTGCACGATTATGCGGATACAGGTTATTCTTTTTACTTTTCTTGTGGCTACCATCTTCATGATTGATCAACCGGATAACTCTGCCACTATCGGATATGAAGATTTGATGTGCCTGGTTGCGGTCAGCCGCCCGGATTATGTGGTTCCTGATGCAGACTGTGCTTACCTAATATCAAAACTACCGTCCATCGGATATTATGAGCGACAGCTGCAGTGGTGGGAGTGCCAAATTCCATCCCTGCACGATAATCTCTTCTCGTGTCAAGTCAACATTGACGTGTTGGGCTCTGACGTGACATTTAAAGATAAATCTTGGCTCTGCGAAATGGAAGATACTCGAGTATGTGACGGAACATCACAGTGCGCAACTGACGAATGTCATTGCAAGGCAGAAGACGCAGAAAGAATATCCAGATATTACTTCTACTGCTTCGACGGCTCGGGTTGTATTACTTCCGAAAAACTCTGTGATGGAGTGCAACAGTGCAGGGACGGGTCGGATGAGTGCTTCTGTCCTGAGACAGTTGAAATTTTCTGTCCACTTCCAGACACAACGAGGCAAAACAAAATTTGTACATCTCCTGAACTTTATTGGCGACGATTTGAGACGATCAGCTCTCTTAATTGCTCTGTAGACAATGTTCCTGGCAAACTTCAACCTCACCAGCACCTCGTCCAGAATCATTTCAACTACACCTATGAATGTATTTTAAATATATTGGATGAATCAAGCGAAATAAAATCAAGAGTCGCAAAAACTTCATTTTGGGATTCTGACGAAAAATACACCTACGTATCCTTGATATGCAAAAACAATTGTAGCGATGAACCAGGCTTCGGAAAAGGGAAAATGTCACATTTTTGTGACCGCGTAGTTTTCGGACAACTAACTGAACATCAACTGATGACAAAATTGGCCTTCCTTTGTGAGGAAAATATGTTTCACGCGAGGGGACAAACTGTCCCCATTGAAGCTATTTGTGATGGCCCACGTGATTGCAAAAATGGAGCGGACGAGATCGGCTGCCCAGGTCGGTTTTACTGCTCCAACCAAACCTGGGTAGATGAAGAAAAAAAGTGTGATAACGTGAAAGATTGTGCAAACGGACTTGATGAGTGTGAGACTTGCGATTTGGGGGATTTGTCCTCATCCCAATTTCTCATACGTTCCAAGATAATCCTGTTAGTTACCTCTGTGATGGGGCTGTCGATAGTTTTCCTGAATCTATATGAGGGTGGACAGTGCTTTCTCGGACAGTCAGCATCAAAGAAGGGAGAGGTTGATAAAATCCTGCGACTCCAAATATTCGTGTATGATGGGTTGATGGGTTGTTATCTGTGCTGTGTGGTGCTGGCAGCAATAGTCCTAAGAATGAGAGGAGACTATTGTATTATTGAGAGGGAATGGAGGGCAAGTAAATACTGCTCAGCTCTAGGAGTCCTCTTCTCATTTTCCTCCCATGGTTCCCTTATTGTTGTAGCTTTTGTGAGTATTCTCAGGTGCTATTATTGCACGGTACTCATTGTGACCAATGTTAGAAAAAAAGTTGTTGTCTTAGTCTCCGTAGTTATATTTTTGATAAATTCAGCCCATTCTATCGTTCCCATGCTTCCGTTTGCATTCGTCCAA